CTACACACAAGTGTGCTTCTGTGTGCATGTTTATCAGAAGAGGTCATCAAGGGCTTGCTTGGTTTATTCATCATTTTAAGGCTCTCCTATTTGCAAAGCTTCTGTTAATGTCAGTGAAATCTAACCTAGTCAGAAGTTTCAGAGGTCAGATATTTGGCATGCTACATTTAGAAACCGAAGTACAAAGTTGACGAGGACGCTTCAAACACAGGGGATTACAGCGGAAATAGGTCTCCTTATACCAAACTGGATATCGAGCAGATTCAAAGAAGAATACACTGAGACTGCCTGATGCTATTAAAGCTCATATTCTTGCTTTATTTTTTTTCCACTGACTAAATAAATTCTCCCATTTGGCAAAGCCCAACACAGAAATAACACTTTATTTTCAATACAACAGAAAAGGAGTAGACGTGAGACATAAAATCATGTACCACATGACCTATAAAAAGCAGATACTTACAGTTCGTAGGAACTGTATTTCATCTTCCCCTCCTTCACCCCCTTCAGCCATGGCTTTTGAGGAGTCAGCTCTGCTGAGACTCTGATCGCCTCCACCGCCAGCTCACTGCGCTCCGTACGGCTCCTCTTCTCCTATCAGTATTAGCATATAGCTAATCCAAAGCCATATAGGGAGCTCAGCTAACTCCACTGCACTGCAGACTGTCAGTCAACCCCCTCACTGCCAGAGCCAACTGCGCTGCTTTTCCAGCTCCAAGCAAGCAATTCTGTTCCTTTTCTCTCTACCCTAGAGGCAAAACAGCCTACTGTTAAGGTATCGCAGGAAGTGCTATATGCATCACTAGGTGTTGATTTTTTTTCACCCCCAGATACTGTCTGGTCAAAACAGCAATAACAGGGAAGTGTTAATGAAAGCAGAGCTTGCAATTCCATTTTCACAGACCAGGGTACCAAATTCTGCACTGAAATGTATCAAATGCAACAACTCTGAACCTACTGATCTGTGCAGCAGAAGGATATAAATCAGATGATCACAGGACAAGCTGATTTTGACAGCAGACGTTTTCAGCTTGCTTACATTAACTCCCATTTCTTGCTTCTCTGCATAAACAGCTGCAAATCTGATCTCCAAAATGACTTAATGATCTGAATCTACTGTGTGCAGTTATTTGTGCCGTCATATTAAACAGTATTTATACATCTGTCCTAAGGACTGCAGGGGTTTTATTTGTACCTTTTTAGAATTGCACCTGAATACATATAGAAGATAGTACAAATTTACTTCAAAACCTATAAATCACAGTTATGTTAAAAGAAAACTTAAAATAAATTCAAATTATAGTTAAATAATGCAATTAATGAAAATTGCTAGTTATTACTTCAATATTAGCAAATGAGCAAGGGGGAAAAGACCTATCAACTCTAGAATAAAATTTACGTAAGTGAAGGTAGGAAAAAGACACAAAGAAACAGCAGAAGAGAGCACTGATGAGGCTCCAGTCAGCCAATTCACTATGATCTTGCATTTTACAGTAAAGTTGTAACCATAGCCTACCCATACGTTCCACCCCTGAGAAGCATTACCCAAAATTTGTATTGTCCATAATTGCATCAATACGTACCCTGACAAAGTACCACTTATACACAGTCTTTTTGACAGTAAAAGCATAGTTTTGATTAAAAACGAGGAAGGTAGGCTTGAGGGTAAGGGAAGAAAAAGTTTCTTGGGGTCTCAAGGGCAAGCACAGCCCAGTGAATACTGAAACTAGATTCTCTGTGTCCACAAGCTAATACATTTATACACAAGTGTCCTCTGGACACAGAGCCCAAGACACACTGCACTGCACTGCTCTGCCCTCCCCTTCTCTCTCCCCCTCCTCCCCAATAACAGTATTCCATTTTTTCACTAATTAAAGTAGGCACAGACACAAGCCAATTAGATGACAAATATTTTCTCTCCTTGAAGGGCGAATGCATTGAAAAATTTTTTATTTTATTCCCTCTTAATATCTTGAGAAACTCTGTCCAAAAAATAATGATAATCCCATTAGTCAGCAACAGGCAATTTCAGGCCAAAAGCAACTCGGAGCATCTATAGCTGATGTATTCATACAGGCTGGCCCTGCCAGTATGTCTGCTCCCCTTCCCCCATCCCATAGTTTTTTGTCGGTGGTTGAGAGCAAGTAAAAGATGGCTTTGTGCATGACAAGGCAATGTGGCAGAAAAATATTTCTCTGGAGGATCAGAAAGCTGATTTGGTTAATGTTCTAAACATGCAGTCTAGTGGGTTTTTTGTTTGTTTGTTTTGATGGGGTTTTGTTTGGATTTTAGTTTGGGTTTTTTTTTTTTTTTTTTTTTTTGATTCCAGTCATTTTTTAATGACTGCTTTACCTCTTGCCTCCTCAATACAAAGAACAAAACTTAACAGATCTTCCTTACAGAATATAGCTATTCCAGAGGTGGAGTGGGGGTGGGTGGGGAAATCAAATCAGAGGAATGGGGTAAACTTCCCCCAAGTCAAAGCATGGCACTCAGTGTTCTCACTGAAAAACAGACCAGGTAGAGAGGCCGACCAATTATATTTGCTAATCCATAAATTTATATTTAGAATGTATTTGATACATCTATTGCGTGGCAAAGTCTACATAAGGAAGGACAGGCTTTCTGTAACATCTTACATGAAACAACCTTTCAAGCATACTACCTTATTTTGAAAGGATATAGACAAACACCTAGAAACCTGAGAAAGTAGGTGCAAGTCACATGAGACTCAAAAAATCCACAAGTGCTCCATTTTCTTCACAAATAGACATCATTGTCATGCAGTACATCTGCTGGTCAAGTTTTATTTCAGTTACTGCAGTAAGATTGCCAGATAGTACGTGCTGAACATGCAAAGCTGAGATGAATCCATCTGAATCAGAAATGTAAATGGGGAAAAAAGTCTAACTTTTCAAGCATTTGCCTCCCATATCAGAATACTCCATCAAAGTGGTGTAACTTTAAGACATCTCTTGAGTACTATATTATATTTACACCAGTTAACATAGATAGCTATAGATATCTGTGTCTACAACTTCTAATAAGACAGCTACAGAGTTTACTGATATATATATATGGGGTTTTGTTTTGTTTTGTTTTAAAAATAGATGTCAACATGCTAGGATCCCTCATTGCATTTTTAAACAAAAGACAAAGCATATGGAAAAAGGAATACTGATAATACCTCTAGCATGGTAAGAGAGATCATATCATACATCAAAAATTCTGACTCATGTCAGATTTCACCAGCAGGTCTGTTCTTCTCTTTGCAAGTCCCTCTATTTTTCTTTTTTCAATACTCTCCTTAACAAAGTAGCCTGTGCATTGTTCAGAGACAAAAATTCCTGCCCCAATAAGCAAATTATTTTGCTTAGATTTCATCTTTTTAAAATTGTCAAGTAAACTGCAAAAGCATTTCATAGCACTTCCATTCCTCAGAGTTTTGTTCTGCTTGATATTATGCCTATACATTTAATGACAAAAATGTTCAGCTGTCTCCTCAAGACATACACAGGGTTTTTTTTTTCAGGACTTCCTCGTTGCTCTAAGATTGAGATTTGGCTATTTATGGATCCACACTTAATCAGAGCTCTCATTCACACAAAGTATAATGCCTTGAATTTCCAATTTCTAACTCTACCTTGTATTAATTTTTTTTTTTAAAGGTACTGAAGATATGATTGAAAGACACTGCAGTAAAGCAATCCAAAACAATCACACATCACGCAGCTTCTGCTTTACTGAAAAAGATTGGAAACTGCAGCATTCCAGTGAGTAAATCGCACAGGTTAAATAATCTGAATTAAGACCACTGTATTTTATGATGTCATATTCATGCCAATTAATCTAGCAGTTTTGCCGCTGAATACACTCTGGACAGACTCTACAGTACTTTGAAGCTATCAGGAAAACTTTTCTATCAAACAAACTTAAGGGAAACCTCCTTTCTCTTTCCAGCACAAACATACTGCCTGCTTATTCTCCAACACAAACTCTTCCCTCTACCAAGGGACCCAGGCAGACAGGCTCTTCACATGAGTTCTTGATTCTGGGCTAGCTTTTGGCAGGCTTCATGGCTGCCGCTGCCAAACAATAACTTGGAATTTTTATAGTGGCAGTAGCCCAGCAATAAAGTAGTAACATCAATTTTGCAACAGGAACTAAATCATCCTGCTGTATCAAAGGAATATCTGATTCTAAACCACTTTTGGTTGTGTGTATTTTACCTTTCTGAAGATTGGCTTACACCATCGACCAAAGACAGATCAAATACCTAGCAGAAGACATTTACAGAACACGTAACAGTGAGTCCATGCATGCTGGCATTTTCAAAAGCCCTGGTAATGTCACTTACCCAAGTGTCTGTTGGGTGGGCAGTCAAATGGTATTCCCCACTGACAACTGCAGGCCTGAGTGCTAAACTTAAATGCTGCTTAAAAGACCAACATGTCTCTGCATCCTTTATGCTCCACTTAAGTACAAAAATATGTGTACATGCAATTTTTAAAAAGTTATTAAAAGAAGCACATTATTTCCATTATAACAGCTTCACAAAAGTGTTCAAATTTGTTATGTTGGCTACTTTTAGCTCATGCATCAAGGCAGTCAGCTACTCCTGTTCACAAACACCAGGGACTTAATACAAGTTACCATTCCATTAAAAATACTCCTGTGAATTTGCACTTTAGTTTTAGTTTCTTTTGGAGGTTTTGATTGTTTAAATTTATTCTAGAAGAATTAAATTACAGTTGACAGTGGAAAATGTAGGGTCTTAGTCAAGCTGAGGAAAATCTTCATCAGAAGATTACTAGCTTGAGTAAAGAGGAAATGGTTTTATTAATTTATACGTATTTCCAAACTTCATCCACATTTTTCCTATCCTTTAAAAAAATTACTTTTGTTGGAGATTTATGCATATCCTATATCAGTTCTTTGCTATATAGCACAAGGATTCATTTTGTTTTTAAAAGCTGAGGCAATCTTTGAAGCAATTCTCTATAAATATGGAAAGAACTGTGTTAAAGAATCCATGGCATAGTATCAGCACTGCTGGTGCAGCCTAATCCATCAACTTTCCAAGCAACTTCAACATAAATTCAACATGAGGCAAGGACAAGGTCTCAGAACAGAGGCTCAAAACGCAGTTTTACCAATGAACAAAAGTTTATGTTAGATTGCCATCTGGTGGGATAAGTTAAAAAAAAAGTCTGTGACATGTTGCTAAGCATTAACAACCACATTATTCTAGCCTAAGATATTGGAAGTCTCATTTCCAATTTTACTGTAGATTATGCAACACAGTTTTCATTATAGTCTATGGTGCTATGGGCTCTAATGTTGTATCTTCATTTTTTTTCAAAAATAGAAAAAAGTAAAAACCAGCACAAAACCAACCAAATAAAAAGTATGCTTATAAATTTCTTCCTAAATCTAAAATGCTGATATGTGAATAGGACTTTCTGTTGTTTCCAAAACCACTGTTACTTCAATCCCAGTTGCCTTAAACCTGTCAAAACAAGTATTTTCCACGTTTCTCCAAAATCCAGTTCTAGATGGCTAAAGCAGAGAAGACATATTTCACTCTTTGG